TGAAGGCCTGGACTTGACTAGTAGAATGCATTGGGATATTTCAGCAATAAAATTTAGAACTGAATCCTTGTTTCCTTCATTAGGTACAGCCACTTGAAACTGCCACTAAAAACTAAAAATGGGCCCTGAGCTGAACAGGTGAAGTCACAAAACGTGTGGGAACGTCACTTTGGCAGGATGATTTGATCTTTGAAACTGCAAAGATGTGATTTATTTCTTTTGGCCTTAATTTTTGTTATGAAAGCACTATGGAGAAGAAAAGGGAACCTGTCGAAAGCAGAGACCTCTCACAAGGTTTTGGGAATGCATGTTCTCTCAGCAAGGTTGCAAACCAGGCTTCTACAAGACCCTGAAATTCACAGGAGCCCCTGTTGTCTTCATAAGCTCTATTACATCCCCTGTCTTTCTAATAGCTGTGATAAAAATAGCAAGTGATTCCAGCCTGCCTTCAGAGCAGGATCACAAGAAGATGTGCAGTGACACAGGGACATGTCCCAGCTCCCTGAGATTACGCAGTCATATCAGCCTACAGATTGGACAATAAATTTTTAACATTCATCTCCAACCCATGGGGGAGTTCACTCTGTGTTACAGCATCTCCTGGGTGGAGAAGGCAGCAAAATTGTGATTCACCAAGTGTTTTGTTTCAGAGGGAAGAGGCAGACTGAAAGAAAACAGGGCACTCTCCAAAAACTGTGCATTGCCTCGTGATTGATTGTGCAATCCTTCCAGAATGGAGTCATGGATGCCCTGCAATTGTTTGGAACTTGTAGCAGATATTCCTGTGAAAATGAAGTGCTGAGGGCCCAGACCAGTGGGCAAATGTGGCTGCTGCGTGTGAGGAAGGGCATGGAGCTGCTGGAGTGAGTGCACCAAGGGGATCAGAGGGATGGAGCAGCTCTGCTGGGAGGAAAGGCTGAGGGAACTGGGATTGTTCAGCCTGGAGAAGAAAAGGATTTGGGGTGACCTCATTGTGGCCTTGCAGTGCCTGAAGGGAACCCACAGGGAAGATGGAGAGAGACTCTGGACAAGGGCCTGGAGTGACAGGACAAGGGGGAATGGCTTCACACTGACAGAGAGAAGGTTTAGAGTGAATATGAGGAAGAAATTCTTCCCTGTGAGGCCATGGCTGCCCAGAGAAGCTGTGGCTGCCCCTGGATCCCTGGAAGTGCCCAAGGCCAGGCTGGACAGGGCTTGGAGTAACCTGGAATAGTGGAAGGTGTCCCTGCCCATGACAAGGGGCTGTAACTGGATGATTTTTAAGTGCCTTACAACCCAAACTGTTCTATGATTCTGTGATTAAAGTAAGAAAGAAAACAGAGTGACCTTGCCCCATATTAATTAAATGGGGTAAGTCTGGATAGAGGGCTTCTATATCAGGCAAACTCTAGGGAATACAAGGATAAAGTGCAGATTTAATTTCCTCTTTTGAAATGCCCTGTTTTGTCCTACAGTGTCCAAAGCAGCCTCAGGTGTGTTTGAAGAACTGAGTGGGATAAAGTTACACCCTGCCTGTCTCCACAGATCTCTAGAAATATCTGGATCTATTGTGGGTGCTTGACACTGGCTTAGCTTGTAAAAGAAGCCATACAGCTAGCCTTGGAGAATAAATGTCACAAATTTATAAATCCACAACACAGGGTAAGCAGTACAAATTGTGTTTTTATGCTATCCATCTATTTTGTGTTAAAACTGTCCCACAGCTTTGCTCCTTCTCTCTGCCTGTGCAGTCTCTGCCTTCTGTGTTGGGATTGCTCCCAGCAGCACACAAAGGGGTGGCTTCTCTGCCAGAGGCTCAGCTGACACCCCCAGACATGTCCCACAGAGTTGCAATCTGCTTGTGACAGCAGCTGGGACATGATAACCCACAGTGCTGACACCAGGCGAGAGAGCCTTTGGAACTGAATCCCTGCCTTTAGCATCCCCACTGCTCAGGCTCAGCAAAGCCTGACTGCAGAGCGACTCAGAGCAGTGGAAGAGGATGAGAGAACAAAAGGGTACCAGGAGAGGCTGCCTGTTCCATCCCTCCTCCAACAGTAATTCAGAATGTCACTTGTTCCTGAGCTATCCCCAGTGACCTGAAATGCAGTGAGGAGGACAGCAACACGAGTTCTGCACTGTGATTTTGACAACTGTGTGCCTGCACCAAGCTGGTTTGTATGGCTTCTGATTCATTGTTTAAAAAAAAAAAAACAAAAATACCTTGGGCTGCAAAAACAGCCACTGCAGAAGAACCAAACGGAATGGAAGAAGTATGGCTCACCAACCACAGCACCTTGCTGATTTGAAGTCTGCATTTTGAATTTCTAAATCCTTGTGTTTTAAATGGAGGACTCTTCATGAGAAAGAACAGATAAGTCAGTCCCTTTTCCCATCCTGCAGTTCCCATGAACCCACAGAAGAGTTTGGGAGGCAGCCAGCCTTGTCCTCTCTATCCTGCTTTCCCTCACCCACAAAACAGCCTTGCACTGGGATGGACAGCAACACTTCTGATCTGGTCCTGTCATGGAATCAAATTTCACTTTTCAAATATTCTAAGCTTTCCCAGTGTCTATTTAGTATGGAAAAGGTCCATCTCCCACCTAGAAATAAATCCACTCTTAGGCCCATTGGCTTCAAGGGTAAAGCCTCTTGATTACTGCAAACAGATTTTCCTCACATTAAATGCTGTGAAAAACCCAATCAAGAACATCAGAAATCCTTCAGGAAGCCATTATTAAGTCATCTGAACTCAGTGCATACTCATAGGTATTCCTCTACCATTATTGTACAGGAAAGAACATGGTATCTATACTTAGTAAAGGTCTTTATTAAGGTGATTTGAGTGAGAAAATTTACTTGTATAATTTTACCACTGAGTTAGCAGGGACTGGACTGCCCTTATAGATATTCCATCCAAAGTAAGACTTGGGGGTTTTGCTTGCCTTTTTTTTTTTTTTTTTTTTTTTCTTTCCTGGTTTAGTTGAAAGTGAAACAGATTAAGCCAGGGAAAAGGAGTTCTAATTGGGAATAAGAATATCCCTGTAGCCTGCATCCAGTGATTGAATTTTATCTATTCCAGTTTCCCATGCTGAAACAACCGATATGTAGGATCAGACCTTTTGTGCTTCTGAGTTTCTGGTGTTTCTCAGAATCTCCTGTCTATTATGTGGTTTCAGGACAGAATTTAGGACTACACAAGCATTCTGATTGTTTTTATAAGAACATAAGGTCATAGTGAGCCAAAAGACCTTACACATAAATGTTGTCTTAATAGTCATCATTGTTACAGCACTCCAAATGCACAGAGAGTTTGGGAAAATAATTCAAAACTGTCTATAACCATAACCAGCAGTAAAATAGAAAAGATTCTACTTATTCTATAAGGCAATTAGCAAGTGGATTTTCTTGGGCACAAGAGAGAGGCCCCACCTGGGTTCTGTGTTCTCGTGGGGGCTGTGCAAACCTCACTTCCAGCAGCACATCCCACAGCCCCTTTGAGCTTCAGCACAATCAGCTGCTCTGTTATTTCTGACCCTGTGCAACAACTTCCAGATCCACCCCACTTACTTTGGACCACTCTTCATGGCAAAGAGGGCAAGTGGCCAGTCCTTGTGAGAGCTTCTCCTGGGACTCAAGGCATTGCTCTTGGCAGCCTGGCTTGACTGAGAGCAGAATGCTATCAAATGAAAGGATTTTTTTAAAGGAATAGCTGAATGAAAGCCTGAGTTGGCTGAAAAGCAGATGTATTTTTAGGGCTCTGCAGCACAGTTGTGACACCAGAATTTAATGAGTTGCTACAGGACAGCTAGGTCAGTGTCAAGTTGAATTTTTAACACGCTATAATCTGAAGTATACTTTTAAATCTCTTTTGATGCAAGCAAAACAAATATCCTTGTTTTCATTTGCTCTGAGAGAACTGGGTACAGAGTTAGTTACTGCTGATAACATTACAGATCACAGGACGAGTTTGTTTTTGAGGTCTGAAATATCCAGTGTGAACCACCATCAAACCCACAGTGCTAAGGGGTCCCTCCCCATAAGCTGTAAAATGTCACATAGTTATCTTTGGCTATTGCAACCCTTCCACTAAACTCTGGCTATCAGGTAACAAACCTAGAGATTAGAAAGCACTATACTTGGTTGTGGTCTTTTGAGGTAATTTTAATTCAGCTACTTCCTCAGGAATTGTGGAGTTCTTAATCAACAAGCATTTAATCTAGTATCACCGAGAAAAACACCAATTCATTGCACTTCTGAAGTGCCCCTCATCTAAAGATAGAAAAGGTTTTTATAAACACTGCTGACTCACACTGCCCCTAGCAGAAAAGTGTTATTACTATCATTTTATATAAGGCAAAGCTGTAGCACTGATGTGTAAGCCTGTACCTGGGCAAAGTGAGCATACAGGCACAAGCAACAATCCTCCAGTTCCTTTTTTTCTTCTTTATTTCTACCTGGTTTTTCTAGGCTGATTATTCTTGTTCTTCTTCTATATATTCATGTGTATATAGGTCTATTTATTCATGTAATCTACATATATATATATATTTATGTAAAATATATACATTCATACACATTCATTTATATATTTATAAAAATGTATTAAGGAGTTTGGAGAACACTAGGTATTGCAACACCAATACCTATTGCACAATTTAATTATTATGGCAATAATAATAGAAGATTGTATATATCACTAGTTTCATGGACAACCTCCAGAATTCCTGTACCTTTTACAACAGAACCTAAGAAGTAAAATAGGATTTTGGAATGATATTGAACATCTTGCAATGCTTTCCCAACATCTGAATACTCAATGATATTTTGTAGCACAGCCATAGGTAAAATATTCTGAATTACAATGAATCATGCAACTGATATTAAGTAAAATCAAACATCCAGCTCCCAGGGAAGAGTCAGGAAATCAAGAAGTTGGAAAGAAGAACTTGCAGCAGCTCGAGTTAGAGGTTCTGTGTATTTACACGTGGAGGTTTCATGACTGACCCCACATTCTGGCCCTTTAGAAAGGGTAGTGCATGCAACAGAATCTTTAAAGAGATTAAAAAATTATATCTGGGTGTGCACTTGAACCTTTATTTTCTCTGGAAGGAACTCTGTAAATAGTTTCCAAATGAAAGTAAAGCTAAGATACAAACATGGAGCTCTCTAGAATTGGATGTGTGTGACTGTGATCAAGTTGCAATCCCTGAATCCAGATGCTTTCCATTTGTGGTCTGGCATAGATCTTCCTCACAGAAAGAAGACTAAAATGATTTTCAACAAAATAAAGAGATTCTTGTATTCTGAATTGTAGGGTTTTTTTAAACACTAACTTTTTTTACTTAATTTTGTTTGTTTGTTTGTTTTGAAAACTGTTTTGTAGCAACTCTACTCACCACTGGTTGAGTCGCCACCTTCTGCCTTTCCCACTCGGCCAGCTGGGAGCTGAAGGAATTTTCTTCTGGCTACTTCCTTCATGTTGATGACAACACTCATTACTTCCACACACCTGCTTTGAAAAGAAAGTCATTTTAGGAATCAAACACGCTACAACAAAAATGCTCTGTTTTGTCTGACTTTATGGAAGAACATTTTAAATAAAAGCCACATTGGGATAAATATACAGTCACGTGCAAGGGTCACTAGCTGTCACTAACATACCTTTACTTTAAAGAATCAAATTATCTCTTTCAGGCTTTTGGTTAAATTGGGTTTCAGCAAGCATTGGTGGAGAAAATCACACTTGCTCTGGCTGCCCATGAACAACGTGCACCTCTCCAAACCTTTATCAGCCTCTGAATGGAGATGACCTCATTTTCCTCCCCTCTGTCTCTTTCCCTCTAGTTGGTGCTCTCAGACTCTGCCTTACACCATCCCCACAAGCCTCACTGCAAAATCCATCACATGTTTGGCTCCCTTTTTTCACTTCCTGCGGTCCTTCACAGATTCCTGGCAGGAAGGGAACAAGTTTTTGACTCCCTCACCCTGGAGTTCTGTCAGTTCTTACAGCTGTGTTCAAACCTAATCTCAGCCTCGGACATACTTTTACCATAAAATCATCTTTTAAATTTCTCCACATTAGTGCTGATGTGAGCACCACCTCTAAGCAAGCTCACCTGGAGATTTCCTAGGTGCTGGGGGTTGTTATGACATCAGAGCAATTTCCAGGACAGCAAACCTCTGGATTCCATTTTACCACTCCATTACATGACTCAGCCACTGACGGTGTGCTGCAATGGGTGACAAGAAGATAAAGGGCCACTCTTAGTCATGGCTTCTTGAAGGTCAGGCTGTTCTGCCAAAATTAACCAGAAGGGAATTGCTTTGTCACAGGCCAACCTGACATTTGCAACCACAGTTTTGTCACAACCATCAGCTTGCAAGAGAAGCAAAGGGCAATAAATGAACTTCCCATCCAGGCAGCCCTGCTGGTATTTCCAGGTGACGTGTGCTTGTGGAAGTGTCCCCGTTTCAAAGGCAGCTTTCCAGATTTTCCTCTCAGCCACAATCAGAGTTTGCAAGTGCCAAATGTGTCAGCACACCTCAGCATGGTCACCCACATCAAAAGTGGCAGAGATATTTGGTTTCCTAGAGTCTTTAGAAAGCCTCCTTCCAAATGCCATCGCCTCTCTTACTCAACAAAATGATGGTTAAATGTCTGATTTGTTTTCTGTGGCATTGAAGTATCCATAATGTGATTTACTTGACCATGATGGAAGGAGGTGAGTTGTTCTCTTGTTTATATTGTTTGAAGATGTTGGTAATAATCTTGTCAATCTTGAATTCCTTTCACAATTTCCATACGTGGCCACAGAGAACTATTATTTATCTCTTGATTTGCCATGGTTTTTTCCTCTCTGCCAAAATTCTAGGTCAAAATAACTCTTGGTTTTGTTTCCTGAAGGACCAAAAATACAGAAATGCACATTGCACCATTAGTTTTTACATGGTAAGCAACAAAAAGAGAAGGAAATAATTTTGGTTTTTTTAATATGCCTGTCAGATAGGGAAAGACAGTGGCAGGTCATAAGATATCATAGCTGAGGTGCTTCACTTTGTGTCAATAAGAAGAGTTCTTTGATCCACTCTGGTCAATTGATTTCTTACTGTGGGATACCTTGTTATGTCTTGTTTTACCTCTTGCTACTTAGAAATTGCATCTGTGTGTTTGTACAACATCATTTAAAATGGCCAATTTTATTGCTCAGTCTTGCCCGTAAAATATCAACGCCCTAAGGCAGAAGAGATGAATCTGCAAATGTTCCTCACAGGTAACTGGAAATTACTGGGCAGCTCCATAAGCTATGGAAGTCCTTGGGACAAGTCAAGAGAGAAAGTGCATCATGATGTGAGTGCATCTCATCTCACTCAACACTTCATTTCTGGGATGAAACCCCCAAGAACCAGTGGTAAGAACAGAAATCTCTCAGTGCCAGGAATTGGCTCTTTCTCACTGAAAATGTGTGTTCAATGTGTTCCTCGTCTGCAGGTTCAATTTGGCCCTGAAAGCTTAATTAGTGTTCCTTAGCAACAGGGAAACATCCTCATTGACAAAACCCACTGGTTTTGGCTGAGCCTTCAAAGTGCTCACTTCACGGTCATTTTTAAACTCCCCAAATTCACAGCTGAGCGTTTCCATTCCGAGTGAAATTCATCAACAACAACAGAAAAGAAACGTCCCCAGAGTGATGCATTTCTGAGGAAAATGGGAGGTATGAGCCCAGCTCAAACTTTGTGATCTACAGCAGCAGCAGTTTTTTGCCTCTTATTCCTCAATCGAGAGAAGAAAATGGGGCTACTTGGGTGAAGAGGAAACCAGAAACTCCAGCAATTAATGAAAAAGACTATAAATTAAATAGAGTGAGGAATTAAGTGAAACCATTTGTAGATAACTTGTGAAGTCTTTTGCCATCAGCACCAAAGAGCTTCAGGAGGGGCTCAGAAGGCAAAGTGGACAAACAGTAAAGAAAAATCAAAAGATAAAAAAAGAACATATTTATACAGTTCATAATAATAATACTAATGTATGTTTGAAGATATTATTCCATCACCATCAGAAATAATGCCTGGTGGCATACTTGTACAAATCTGCCTAAAGCATTTGTAATTTTTGTGCTGTAATAAAATAAGAATTATGCTTACACCTCTAAGTATTCATTTCTGGAAAAATCCAGCAGTAATATGGACTACACATGAATATTTATAAGAGTAAAAAAAATGATTATACCCTTATTTAATTTTTAAACTGAGATTTTGGATATTATTAACTCTCCTGGCAGTATTAAAAGGAATATTTTCATAATCCAGTAGTGAAAAGAACTGCAAATGAACCATAAGTAAATAGAGCTGAATTATCTTTTGCAAATATCTCAGAGACTGAGGGTATGTGGGTTGCATGTGAAAACCTGCAGAAATCAGATATATTTAAGATGTCACAGACCACTTTTCTCTGAGTTCCCATGCTCAGGAAATAAATCTGCAGGCATTCCTTTCCTTCTGCCTGCAGCCCCATGTCCTGGAATAATGCGACTGCATTGCAGTCCCAGGTGCTTTGGTTTGATTTCCTATCTACTAAAAAAGTTTTTAGTAATTGCAAGGGGGAAAACAAAAATTAATCTCGAACCCAAATGTAGGGAGTGGCAAGAGCACTGCACTCCATGTGGGGAGATGTGACAGGAGATGGGAATAGGGATGCACACAGATTGCCCACACCGTGCTGGGAAGGCTCACACTCAGAAATGAGCTGTGCCATGCAGAGGCAGGTGAGACCTCCCAGCCTAGAGCTGGGACACTCAGCAGTAAATTGTCCTCAAAATGTGTGCAGGGTGGATGCCAGATGTGCAGCAACCAGGGGTTTGTTCTACAGGCCTGCTCCTGTTTGTCCCAGCATCTGCTCTTGTGAACACAACCTCTGATGTCACCAGCACCCCCAGGTGCCAAATCCCACTCTGGCCCCAGCTTTCCCCTGTGCAGGAAACCAGAAGAACACTCATGGGGGACCCAGCTCTGCAGAAGACCAAAGTGATACCCAATAAAAGCAAATGAAGTTTTGGCAAATGAGACAATCCAGAACTACACAAAATAGACACCCAGTAGGTGATGCCATCAATGATTAAGACAGAGCAGGAAACAAATCACAGAATCTGGTCTATTAAAACTGACTCCATCAGGTTTTAATCTTACAGTCACAGAATGGTTTGGGCTGGAAGGGACCTTAAAGATAATTTCTTTCCAACCCCCTGCAATGGGCAGGGACACCTGCCACTATCCCAGGTTTCTCAGAGCCCCATCCAACCTTGGACACTGCCAGGGATGGGGCAGCCACAGCTGCTCTGGGCACCCTGTGCCAGGGCATCACCACCCTCACAGGGAACAATTTCTTCTCAATATTCCACCAGTGTGAATTCTCTGCCAGTGTGAATATATTCCCCCTTGTCCTGCTACTACCTGCCCCTATAAAAAGGTCCCTTTCCTGCTGTCTGGGTTTAACAGCTGAGAAGGATCTTCCTTACAGTCCTCTCTGGCTGCAGGATTACTATTTGGGTGTACAAAGCTAAGTATTTGCATCAACACTCTCCTATCTCAAGCTGAAAGGCTTTTCCTAGCATTACTAGAAATCACATTTTAAAATACTTTGAAGTATTTTTGTATTTATCTCCTCCTTTTAAATGTCTGTTCATGTGAATGTTTTACAATGTACATAATATATACTTCTAGTAGTAAATAAATATAATTCTCAAATAAATAAGCATATATTGCAGAAGGGGACAGAAGGAGTATGTGTGTGTATGTTCAAGGATTTTTTACTGATACAGGTGCACAATTATAAACTTTTGGAGATCTGCTACAGAAGGAAGAGGTGGTAACCTACACATATTTTAAGTCTTAAGTCTGCTGTTGTGTTTTTCACATATTTTGCGCATGCATGTATGTGCACAGGGTATAAAAGAATATGTGTATTCCATATATTACTGCATTATTTCTTGTATTGCATTAACATATTTATTATGATCTTTTGCGTAGATTTACTGAGCTGCCTACACACATACATTAAATTTATGCAATATACCTAACAAACAGCACTCATATATTTGACACATTCTGCATTTAGTTGTAGGTAGAACTGCAACTTCTATATTGTTTGACATATCACATTATAATTTACCATTTGTCTTCAGTTATAATTCTGCCAGGTTTGAACTCTTTGAACTGAATTTTCACATAATTTTGCCCTGCTTCTGAGTTACTTTCTTCGGAGAGTTTGAATAAAAGTGATTTAGCCATTTTTTGAGAACACTTGTGAAAAATAGCCAGTGTAACCTATGCTGAAAATTGGTAATTTTATTAACATCTCCAGCCACAGGAAATTTAGAGAAGAGCAATTCCCCTAAAGTCACTTTTTTTTTTTTTTTTTTTTTTTGGTAAAAATATATCCAGATTGCCCAATCCTTAATTTTTTATAAACATATTTTACTTTTGTGAATCTGGCTCAAATCATGGCTTTCCCAGTTGTGAGCTCTGAATGGGGCTGAGAGGATAATATGAAACAATAAAGTCACATTAAGAATTTTATTTGGATTTTACTTTCCACTTAGTCTTGACTGACAGTGAATGTACTCCTACAAGGAGATTTGAGCTGTATTCCTGTTTGAAGCTTAAGTTTAATTTGTATTTTCAAAATGCAGAGCTGCTCTACAATTGCTTACCAAGACACTAATTTAAAAACATTCACTTATAGAGTCAGTCTGGCACAATGCTGCAATTGCAGAGTACACATAATGAATGTCACACACACCTTTTAATGAAGATTTGTCTTTTCTTGTGCTTGTCATGGGTCAGCCTCTTCCACTCTGCATCATTTGTAGTAAATTCCTGTTCATTTTCCCATCCCTTTTTTTTTGCTCTGTTGGTGAGAAAGTTTTAAGACAATGTTCTTAAATTGTTTTTTCTTCTTTCAACACCCATCCTTGTTTTCTGTTGCAGTAGAGAGGGGTGTACCAACCTACAGCCTGAAAAAAAAACCAACCAACCAACATTCCACAGCCTATTTATAGTCTACATCTTTCATCAAGGTAATTGTTTTTTAGATCAACTGAAAGAAGGAGAGCTGAAAGAAGAAGCATTTCAATGTGTTTCTAAGTTATTTAACATTTGAAAGATAACTACTTATCGCCATCACCAAATTCCAGCCTTTTTACATCAGTCTTCAAAATCCATTTCCAGTTTTTAAATATATTCAGGATAAATTCATCATCTAAGGGTCTTAAAATTCCATAGTCCAATTAAGTAAAGAAGTTAAAGAAGGAGAGAAAAGAGGAGCAAGTGTGGCCAAACTGATTTAGGAGAGGAGTAAATATGAAAAGGTGAGACTAAAAGTCAACATTCACTCAGCAGTTTGTAAGGTGTGAATTATGGTGCCTCAGGGAAGTTGTATAATTTGCACTGTTTATGAAAATCACAGATCTTTTCCATGTTCTCACTAGCACGAGTTTGTCTAGCTAAGAATGACCAAACACACAATTACCACTGGGCAGTAAAAAAAATGATGTTAGGCTTTCTCCAATCTCCAGATTAACAGAACTTTGTCTAAAAATACTCGGCAGGGCCGCCAAGGCAATGGCAGCTCCTGGCTGGACTGGATTGTTCATGCCTGAAACACGGGCAAGGACTGTGGGCTGCTCTCAGCAATCTCCTAGTTTCCTCCAAGTCCTAATCATCAACATCCCCACTGAAGCAAGGCTGACAGAGAGAGATCACAACATTTCTTGTGCTTGATTCAACAAGGACTTGAACAGCACAGTCCCAAATCTCTGAAGGAAGCCCAGTGACACAGCTGCCACTGGACAAAAGTGGTGATTTTGCTCCCACTTGACCATTGGGGCTCACAGGCAATGACTTTTCCTAAATCTTAACAAATCCTCCCAAAGAAAATCTGAAGGAGGTTTGGAAAGCACTGGAGCATCTGCTGCTCAAATCTGCAAAGATTAAAGACAAAATGTCTCTGTTATACAGTATAAGAACTCAGTAAATCAGGTTTTACACACACAATATAAGAACTTGGTAAAACATCAGGTTTTCACTTTTCTCTTTGATTTTTGCAACATTGGTCACTGTTTGATCTCTGGCATCAAAGCTGAAAGAACTTGCAGATTAGTTTTAGCGATTATTTTCAAGTACCTTTCCTGTGGATTAACTGAGATTACCAAAGGCACATTTTTTCCAAGGTGTGGATAGTAAATCCTGGGCTTTTTAGTCTGGCTTGCTGAGAGTAAGATTAAAAATAGGCAGTTTCTTTTATTTTCTAAATTACCAGGGGCATTGCAAGAGATGTGTGATATCAGATTTAAAATTCCAGTCTCTGCTTGATTCTGGATTCCCCCTGTTTAAGAAGAAGCTGTCTCTACTGGAGACTAGACATTTTTTGTACTTTTATCCTTATACAAAAGATCCTTATACAACATTGTGCTTTAAAATGTGAATGCAATTACCTGTAACCTTTGTCACTAACACAGGAGCAAAAGGACCCATTATGAAAACATTTCTCTTACATGAGACAACCACAACACGTTTTTGCAAATGGAGTTCCTAAAGGATTTGACATTTGCCATCTGTGATAAAATAGCTGCAACCATTTCCTGTGAGCCAAAGCAATTCTTACTCAATTTTAAAGGAGAGAGACCCTGAAAAAAATAAAATGCTTCCTTCCAAAAGTGCTCACCATACTCTGCCAAGGTCTGTTTGTGGCTTTTTCACACATCCACCAGAAGACATTACTGAGTGTGGCTCTTCTGAGTCCCCCAAAATTGCATTTTCAGCTTATGGGAGGGCTCACACAGCACGAGGGCACTGAGCTGGGTGATGAACAAATGTTGCCTCCTTTTATTCTGCCAGACCTCAATTTTCATCTCAGAAAAAGGAACTGGCACTGGTGGTAAAAGAGGCCCCAGGCCACATTCCAGCCATCTACACTGGCATCTAAGAGGAGCACTTTGCCTTGGTTCAGCTGTTGCTCTCTCAGGGAGCTGGAAGGGCTCCCTTGCTGGCCTGGCTGACACAGACACCATTGTGCAGCAATTTTAAATGCAAGAGTTGGCTGCCTGAATATGACCCTTGGAAATTAATAAGCCAGGAGAGGTTTTCC